GGGTTTGGCGGTATCCTGGGCGTGCGCGGGTGAGTTTTATCCAGAGGGGTGCAGCGGGGCGGGGCGGGGGTCTGCGGTCCGCTCTGGGCGCCGGACAGAGGGCCAGGACTCAGAGGATGCTGCGCACCCAGAATTAATGGGGAGCCCCTGGCGTTGTCCAACACTTAACTATAGTCTCCGGTGCCCCTCTAGGGCTGTGAATGCCACAGGTGGGGGGCTGGGTAAGGTGTGCCGGCAGGGGTGGAGCTCGCGAGGGGCCGCACCTAGAGGTCTCGGAACCCGGGGGTGGGCTCCCTCCCGCCATCCCGGAACCCTGCTTCTCCCACCGATTGCTCCGTTTAGTTACCTGGAGAGGGAAAAAGAAAGCTTCTGCTGGGAGGAGAAATTCTTTAGGGTTCCAATGAAGTGGTTTGTCTGGTTTTTACCTGCGAGAGCTGTTGGAAGAAGGGGCGCCAGGATTTGAGCAGGTGGGATCCAGGGTAATGAACTAGGGGCAGTGGCCATCTCGTCTGTTTCGCAAAGGTCACAGGCTGCTTCTCCAAGACCATCTGGGGAACTTAGCAGACCTCCCGCGGTGCCTGCCCTTGATGCCCAAGGACCCCGCCTGGCATTGCTGGGCCTCTGACTGCTGCTGTTTCCTGCCACAGCCCCAACCCTAGCGATGCCCTCTTCCGTGGACGCCCTGGGTCAGGCATGTTCCCCCGGCTGCAGCCTGGCCCTCAGCACCTGCTGCTCGGTCTCAGCCTGGCAGAGGAGGCTGCCCGTCCTGGCGTGGCTGCCTGTGTACTCTCTGCAGTGGCTGAAGATGGACTTCATCGCTGGGCTCTCGGTTGGCCTCACAGTCGTTCCCCAGGCGCTGGCCTATGCAGAAGTGGCTGGGCTGCCTCCCCAGGTGAGCTGTCTGAAGCCACTGCCAGGCACCCCCTGTTCCAGTGGCCTTACCCCACCCAGAGGCAGAGCAGGAAGGCTTGTACTTAGTGTGGGGTCCAGACACCTCACGTGCTACCCCAGGGGCCCAAGGAGCCCTTGATCTGTAATCTGCAGAGTGTGACTGCTGGTTGTGTGTGTTCTAGAGGGATGACTCATGGTGACCTTAGGCACACTTCCTGGGACTCACAGACCTATGCGCACCAGCCGCTGAGCCTCCCCGCCCCCACTTCACCTGGTCCTCAGCACCCTGAGGCCCCTCTTGGTTCTGGTAGAAAAATAGCCCCGGTTCACTGCAGGTTCATGCATGGCCAGTGGATGGTAGGTGGTTGGCCTTGCCTGTGTGTGCCAGGGTGTGCAGGTACGCAGTTGACACCCACAGGTCCCCTGTCCACATGTCCCGTGGACACCAGGGATGTAGGTGGACGAGCCTGGGGCCTGCTGGTGCTTACTGCTCTCTCTCCCTGACAGTACGGCCTCTACTCTGCCTTTATGGGATGCTTTGTGTATTTCTTCCTGGGCACCTCCCGGGATGTGACTCTGGGCCCCACAGCCATCATGTCCCTCCTGGTGTCCTTCTACACCTTCCACAAGCCTGCCTATGCTGTGCTGCTGACCTTCCTGTCAGGCTGCATCCAGCTAGCCATGGGGTTCCTGCGTTTGGGTAAGAGCCTGTCTTCCTCAGTGGGTGGAGAGGCTTCAGTTCTGCTTTTCCTGGGGTGCCAAGGCCCCCTGGGATGCCCTTGACCTCAGCCTTTCCTCCTCTTCATTCTGAGGGCATCTCTGGGGGTGGGGGAGCACCTCAGTCCCAGGGTGCTGTACTGTGCAGAGAGGCCGGCATACTGGGAGAACTGCCAGGGCCACAGACCCTAAAAACAGTCCAGATAGGGTGTGTCACCCATCAGTACCGAGCCGTTCTCCAGTCCTACCCATGCCTCTCTCCCAGCCCACACCTGCCCTGTCCTCTGGGGCCACTCCATTCCCTTTTGGCTGCCAGGGTTCCTGCTGGACTTCATCTCCTGCCCTGTCATTAAGGGCTTCACCTCCGCTGCTGCCATCACCATCGGCTTTGGACAGATGAAGGTAGGCACAATGCCCACGAGGGCTCTGCCCTCTGACCAATGCCAGGTGGTGCCGGGGTACCTGGGAGCAGGACCAAAGCCAGTCCTGCACTGTGAGACCAGGAAACACCCTACTGCTTGGGATTTATCTCTGCTCTGGATCAAGAAGCACAGAGCGCTCTCATGGGTCCTCCATTCCTGGGCGAGAGGTTGCATGATGATCAGATTTTACAGCAGATCGTTCGGGGGCCTGTAATTACACCCCTCGGTTCTTGCCAGATCTTTTGTACCAGGCTGCTTGGTTGGCTTCATAGGGTGGTTCTGTTCTGCCTTTCACACGTTTTCCAGCAAAATTTGCAGGTCATGGGCTGACACCAAGGTTTCTGCCAGCACTTCTTTGTGCTAATTTACCTAAATGGCGTTATGTGGTTTCTTCTAGTTTCTATTTAATGCTACTTAAATACCAGGGTTTTATTTCTGTTTAAAATACCCATAAGAAACACTAGATCCATAATCACCAGTTACCCCAGGATGTAACTTACTGATGCTCGTGTCCCTGGGTTTTTCTTACACCCCCTGCAAGCAGGATTGACCATGGTACTCGTTGCTGTGCGTGATGTAAAGTAGGTGAGTGCCCAGCTGGGCATGTAGGGAATGGAACTGAACTCAGTTCTGTAGATGGGGTCCCTGGCAAGGGACTCAGGGCCACACCCCTGGCTCATGACCCTGTGTCTTGTCTGCTCTGGGCAGAGCAAGAAAATCAAGGATGGGAGACTGCGTGAATAAATAGCTGACTGCTCTGCACCCTGTGTGCTAGGCACTGGGTTCCGCTTTCCATGACCTTGATTCTCACCGCACTCCCAGGAGCTGGGTTCATTGTCCATTGTAGAGAGGAGGAGACACATAGTGTTGGAGAGTGTGACTGGTACATTGTGTACACACGTGGCAGGGCGCGCTTGGCAAATGTAGCTAGCTTATATTCAGGAAACACTTTAGGGTCAAGAATGCTTTTTTGTTTTCTGTATTCTTTTTCTGAGGCTGGGAATTGAAAAATGCTCTTTTTTTTTTCTTTCTTCTGTGGCGCTGAGGGTTGAACCCAGGTCCTTTGCAGTAAGACCTTTTTTCTCCAGACCTTTTTTTTTTTTTGAGACCAGTTCTTATTAATTTACTAGGTGGTCCCAGTTGGGTTCAAACTTTGGATCCTCTTGCCTCAGGCCTCCCGGAGTGCTGGGGTTATAGGTGGGGCCACCACAGCCAGCTCTTTTATTTGACCTTAAAGCCAGTGGAAGGTGCCTTCTCATTCCTGCTTGATGACACTAACCCTGCCCCCAAGTCTGAGGACCTTTGACTAGGTCATGATGTGTGGTCATCTGATACGCCCAGGGCATAAGGCCCCCCAACCCCAGATTCCTTCAGTGTCCACCTGCCTTTGTCCCCCACCTCAGTGTTTGTAGCAGTTTTGAGGCGGGAGGGTCCTCGGGTGTCCTGGTCAGTCCACCTCCCATACACCCTGTGGGGTCTCAAGCAGGACAAAGAGCTAAAGCTGCAAATAAAGCCCCTTTTCCCTCTCCAGGATCCAGAGGGCTTCGGTAAATATCAGAGGCCTGATTTGGCTGGGACCCCCGCCCCTTTCCAGGGAGCTGGGAGGAGCAGCTGGTTCTTCCTGTCTTGGCCTGGGCATGATGTTTCCTTCCAGCAGGGGGCAGTGACAGGAGTGACAGGCCCCTCTGGCCAGTGGTGGCCGAAGGGAGGTGAGGGGAGGTGTGGCCTCAGACTGCTCAGCTGTTGAAGTGGTTTTCTGCTTTGCAGGGGCCTAAACTAGATTTTCATTCAAAATGTGCCACTGACCCAAACACAAGGTGCTGGCTTGCCCAAGACAATTATCTCCTGCCTGGGGTCAAGCAGCCCCCGGGAGCCCAGAGACAGCCCTGGTCCTCTGGGCACCCAGGTGGGGTCCTGCTCAGGCACGAGGGAGAGATGAAGTAGGGGCAGCGTGAAGGGAGGGACACCCACCACCAGCCGCGGGCAGCTTCTGACAGATCCTGTTTGACAGAACCTGCTCGGTCTGCAGAACATCCCCAGGCAGTTCTTCCTGCAAGTGTATCGCACCTTCCTCGACATTGGGGAGACCAGGTACTCTGTCGGCTTGCTTCTTCCCCCAGATCAGGGTGCCGTTCCTTCCAGGGCCCCTCCCTGCCCCAGGTGGAGGCCTTGTTGCTCACCCTGGTCCCCAGAGCAGTGCTGTCACATCACCTGGCCAGGGGTTAGACAGGCGGGTGCCAGCTCAGCCCAGACCTGCTGCTTCAGCGTGGCATTGTGTGGTGGCCCTGGGAGCCCAGAGAGTTGATTCACGGAGCTTGGCTGCCTAGCCTTGGCGAGGGATGGAGAGCTGAGAGCCCTGCAGAGAGTGCTCCCTCTGAGGGTTTAAGTCTCTCCAGTGAGGGGTCCCTCCCTCCGAGACTGGGCAGTGGAAAGCTAGGATAACCCCGACGCTCCTGCTGGGACCGGAGGCGAAGTGGGGAGTGGGTGGGCCAAGTCCTGGCCTTTCCCTCCCTCCTCTGATCTGCTGCTGCCAGGCTCCCTGGCTCTTGAGCAGGGCTCAGCCTCCCAGGGCCATTGGAAGTGGAGACCGGCCAGTCTGAGAGGCCAGACTGAGGAGCAAAGGGCCTCACCCACCGAGTGTGCAGTCTGGAGCCCCGTGGGACAGATGAGGCATTTGTGGCCCAGAGGATGAAGCCCTTGAACACGTGGGAGTCCCACTGCCGTTGTGATGGGGGCTTCCCGACTCCTAATCTGCTTCAGGGGATGGCCCTTGCGGAGATGTGAACACAGTTTTGAAATCCACTACGGCCCTGGATTATTTAGGAGAAGGTCACTTGGCTGCCTGGCTGGGTGGTGACCCACCCTCTGCCCACAGGGTGGGCGACGCCGTGCTGGGGCTGGTCTGCATGCTGTTGCTGCTCGCACTGAAGCTCATGCGGGACCGCATGCCTCCTGTCCACCCTGAGATGCCTCCTGGCGTGCAGCTCAGCCATGGGCTGGTGTGGACTGCTGCCACAGGTGAGGGCCTCCTTGCTGACTAACGTAGGCTGCACCTGGGTGTCCCTGGAGGAGCCCTGAGTCCCACCCCCTAGAGAGGCATAGAAAGTTATACGTGGCTTGTTGCCACTGTTGCTTTTGTTTTGCTTTGGTGGTACCAGGGTTTGAACTTAGGATCTCCTACTGAGCTACAGCCCCAGCCGTTTTTTTATTTTTTTTATTTTGAGGCAGGCTTTCACTAAGTCATTAAGTTGCCGAGGCTGGACTCCAATTTGGGATGCTCCTGCCTCAGCCTCCCAGAGTGCTGGGATTACAGGCATGCCCCACCCTGCCTGGCTCATAGACGGTTTTGATCTGCCTCAAGCACTGGGAATACCCATCTGCACAGTGCCCCAGTTGACACCATCTGGGGAGGCTGTTGCTGTCATCTAGTGGGTAGAGGCTAGGGATGCCCCCAAGTGTCCTGTGTCCCTCAGCCTCCTGCTGTGGAGTCAGCTGATACCAAACACTGGCTGTGTCCAGGTTTGAAAAGCTCCATCTACAGGGTTGCTGGGGGAGAAAGCAAATTCCACTAGGCTTAGAGGCAGCGTTCTAACTGTGCACTTGTTCAGAGGGAAAGTTTAGCTGTAGGCATGGGGTGTGTGGTTGTGTTAGTGACAGGTGCATCGGAGAGGCTGAGGCAGAGGCTGCAGGTAGGGCGTGGCCTGGCCTGGCCTGCTGAGAGCCGTTTCTGGGGAGGCTGGGCACTGGGAGGTGACACCCACAGAGGAAGGCACATGCAGGAGAGCACGACAGCAGCAGCATCTCTGAACTTCATGGGGCATGAAAATGACCTGAGTGTGGCCCTGCTCTGGGCGGGGAGCAGGCAAGAAATCAATAGCAGTGAGAGAGAGGAGTAGCTGGCGTTAGCACTTGGGTCCCTTCCATCAGCCCAGGCTGGTCCCCGACTCACGGTGGTCACCGCCAGGTTCTGTTCCACATTTCTCAAGGCAGTGGGTAAATGCCGGGAGTTTGGTAGGGAAGGAACGCTGGTGTCGGGTGGAAATGTCCCTTCCAGCCTGGGTTTGACCCTGCAGAGTTGCTCCCCAAAGTCTGAGCTTTAATTCAGTATCCACAAAGCAGTGAACATCACCCAGTTCTGTGAAGCCAGGAGTGTACTGGAAAGGGGCTCTGAGGCCCCACCACTTCCGGGAGATTCCCAGGCACACTAGAGTTGGGCTTAAACACAGGTGTGGCTACCAGCTGCCCTCAGACCCCAGAGTCCCTCAGGGAGCGGCCTGTATTTTATGGCAGGATTGGTCAGGAGAATACCTGAGAGGCTTGGGGAAAATCTGAAGTTTATTCTTCTTACAGACCCTTGAATCATGAGTGACACCTGCGTGTGGTCAGGAGCGGGTGCAAGAGGGAGACTTAGGCTGCAGCCCTCGTGGTTTCTGTGAGGAAGGCCAGATGGGGCATGCCCAGCAGTAGGGGTGGCCGCTTGGATATTAGCAGGCTTCAGGCTGTAGGGGTGGCAGCCAGTCCCAGCACGACCCGGGCAGGGGTAACTGTCCGGGTGCCTCGGCTGAGCGGGGGAAGCACGGCTCTGGGTGAGCTTGTGCTCCAGAGACACGAGTTGGGGCCCTTTGTTATCTCTAAGAATGGCCTGCGTAGCCCTGGGAGGGGCAGCCTTCCCCCAGTGAGAAAGGCATTTTGTCGTTTCTTGCTGCTAGGGGCTGAACCCAGGCCTCATGCGTGCTGGGCAAATGCTGCACCAGTAAGCTGCATCCCCGATGCTTTAAAAAATTTTAATTTTATTTTAAAATAGTCTCATTAAGCTGCCCAGGCTGGCCTTGAACATGAAATACTCCTGCCTCAGCTTCCCACATGGCTGGTATCACAGCTATGCGTCACCACACCTGGCCGAGGAAGGTTTCTTAGATGCAAAACACCAGCTGAGTGTGGTGGCACACACTTGTAATCCCAACAGTCTGGAGGCAGGAGGAACGCCAGTGCCCTCCCTGGTTACTTTCCTGTGTGTGCCAAGACCAGGTCTCACCTATGTTCCTCTGGCCCAGCTCGCAACGCCCTGGTGGTCTCTTCTGCGGCCCTGGTTGCGTACTCCTTCGGGGTGACTGGATACCAGCCCTTCATTCTGACTGGGGAGATAGCCAAGGGGCTTCCTCCCGTGCGAGTCCCTCCCTTCTCGGTGACCACGGCCAATGGGACTGTCACTTTCACCGAGATGGTGCAGGTGAGCGGACATGGAGGCCGGCAGTGTGGCCGAGGCCGTGGTGGCCCTGGGTCTGGCTCAGGGTCCCTGCTGCATCTTTCGGTGATGGGCGGCACCAGCTGACGAGGGTGGGCTGTCCCTGTGGGGAAGAACCTAGGTTGGACACAGCTCCCTCCTCCCCTGTGCTTCTGTCTTGGGCCCTGGGGCCGTCCTACTTTGGACACTGGCCTGGGTTGCATCTGCAGGTTCTCCTTGGAGTCTTGCTCCTCTCTGATGAGAGGAGCTTGCACCCCAGGAGCTGCGATGTACTTGTGTCCTTTGTGTGCACACATGGGGAAGAGCCGGTCCCGCCTTGGCAGGGCACGGCTGGGCCAGACCGCCTCTGCCTTCCCGAGCCTAGGAGGGCACTCACTGTCTCCGTCTCCTCTCAGGACATGGGGGCGGGGCTGGCTGTGGTGCCCCTGATGGGACTGCTGGAGAGCATCGCGGTGGCCAAAGCCTTTGGTAAGACGCCTGCCGCTGGCACTGTTTTCTCCTGGGAGATGCAACCCTAGGCTCATGGCCCGGCTTCTTGTTGCTTTCTTGCTTGCATTTATCTGCTCTCATTTGTAAAATTAGAATTTTTTTCTGACTGTTATATGCTCGTGTTTTAAAGTACAGTATGTATATATGAGGGTAGGTTGGATATCCCTAAGGTAAAAAATCTAAAATCTGAAATCTTCAGGGCCAGTGTGACATAAGTTGTACTCAACTGGTAAAGGCTGAAAGATTCTTAACCAGTAAAGTCTGTGCAGATATTCCAAAATCTGAAGAAATCCAAAACCGGAAACATTTCTGGTTCCAGTTGTTTCAGATAAGGAACGAATACCGTGTCCGATAAAATTGGATCTATAATGGGCAGCTCCATCCCAGTGTGCTGGTCAGTTGTTTCAGCAGCCTCCTCTGTGTGGACATAAGAAGCCCTGCTTTGGCTGGGCAGGGCGGTGCAGGGAGTGCACACACTTGTAATCCCAGCTCCTTGGGAGGCTGAGGCAGGAGAGTCAAAAGGATATGACCATCCTGGGCAACTTAGTGAGACCCTGTCTCAGAATTTACAGAAGGGCCGGGGATGTAGCTCAGTGCTCAGCACCTAAAGTGTAGGTCCTGCTGTTGGCATTTTCTGGGATGTAAATGCTCCCACTGTGGTTGATTCTAAGCTGACCAAGACACCTCTGGATGTGGAGCTTGAACACAGGGTTGGAATAAGCTTTATGTTAGGGCCTTTCGGTGTCTGTACAACGTATGCCTGCAGGTGCTTCTGGCAGACGGACAACCTCATTGGTAATAGTGAGATGTCAAATTAAGGAACTGAGTTAGGGGCCGGGGATGTAGCTCAGTGGCACTGTGCCTGCCTCGCAAGTGCAAGGTCCTGAGTTCAATTCCTGTACAGAAAAAAAGAGAGAGAGAGAGAGAGAGAGAGAGAGAGAAGCAGTGAGTTATACTATCTTTATTTGTACCGTAGCTTGCTTCACTGGAAGTTGTAATTCAGTTGGTTTTAGTTCAGTTAATTAAGCTGTGCTTAATAACTAGTTCACAAAGTTCTAAAAATGAAAGAGCCTCTGCTGTCCTGCTGGCTCAGCACCTCTCCCTTTGGAGGCAGGGGAATGGTCGCCTGCTTGGATCTTATTTCTGGTTCAGCATCTTGGGCTCCCTCCTCTGTGAGGGGGAGAAATCTGTCACTTGTCCCCTTCCCACTGAAGTCAGCTCCACTTCCAGCTCCGGATGGTCCACTTGGGTGACATTTACACTCCCATCCGTAATAGCTGGGTCCTCCCTGCCCCTGGCTTGGCTCTGAAGGTGAAAGCCCAATGAACAACCCGGCAGTGCAGTGCTTGCCTGGCACGCACAAGGCTCAAGCTTCCATCCCCAGCACCAGAAAAAGAATTCATAAAAACAACTCACAGTACATGTTGTCTGGCCTCCCTTCTCACGCTTCCTGTTGAAATCCTCCTGCCTCAGCTTCCCACATGGCTGGTATCACAGCCATGCGTCGCCACACCTGGCCGAGGAAGGTTTCTTAGATGCCAAAACACCAGCTGAGTGTGGTGGCACGCACTTGTAATCCCAACAGTCTGGAGGCAGGAGGAACGCCAGTGCCCTCCCTGGTTACTTTCCTGTGTGTGCCAAGACCAGGTCTCACCTATGTTCCTCCGAGAAGTCCCTCTCCAGTAGTCCGGTGCTCTGTCCCTCCACCCATTCAAAGGTCCACGCAAAAGAGTTTTCCAGGGCCTGGGATTTAGCTCAGTGGTGCCACGAACTGCATCACAAGCACAAGGTCCCGAGTTTGGGTCTCTGGTACAAAAGAGTTTTCCAGAGTCAACAGTTGCTCAAACCACACCGTGTCTCCAGTACTTCCATGAACAGTGCATGTCTTTCTTGTTCAACTTTTTATTTCTCTGTTCATCTCTTTATGTTGTTGCAAGAATAAATATACAGGGCCCGGGGATTTAGCTCAGGGGTGCCGCTGCCTGCCTCACAAGCTCAAGGTGCTGAGTTCGATCCCCAGTACCAAACAAACAAACAAACATGCAAATCTGCATTTTATGGTCTTTACTCTTGTCTGTTACATGGACTTTTTTTTTTTACAGCACTGATTGAACCCCAACCCCATCCCCCTTTTTTTTGATACTGGGGATCAAACTTGGGACCTTGCACTTGCGAGGCTGTGGGCGCAACTACTGGGCTAAATCCCTGGCCTGCCATTTTTAATTGTTTATTATGAGACAGGATATTGCTAAGTTGCCCAGGCTTAACTTGAACTTGCAATCCTCCTGCCTCAGCCTCCCCAGAGCCACTTCCTTTTGAAGCCACTTGACCCCTGCCTGTCATTCTCTTTAATCTGAGTTTGATAAACCTTGGCCTGCTGTCTCCTTTATTTCACACCACTGATCTAAAAATGAGTTTTACATCTTTTTTTTTTCTCATTGAGTCTATTGGTACAATCTAGGTATACAGTACAGTTACATTCATTACTGGGATCTTGTACCTTCACATGACAGGTCTTGGTTCTCATTTTTTCCCCCTTGTCCCTGCCCTCCCTTCACCCCCTGAGTTTTACATCTTTTAAATGGTTGGAAAAAATAATATTTTATGACGTGTGGGACACACGTGAGTTTCAAAATTTCCCTGCCAGCATGTGGCATTTGTTGAATATAGCCCTGCTTGTTTGCTTACCTGGCCCACAGCGGTAGAGTGGAGAACAGTGACAGGTCCAGTAGTTGTACAGCTTGCGTGTGAGCTTGTGTCCTGTGGCTTCCCTGGAAATTTTGACCTCATCTCTCTGCGGTGGCCTCGTTCCTGGCTCTCTAGCCATCTCCTCTTGAAATCAGAGGGGTGTTCATTTAAAAATGACTTTCTCTTCTTAAACAATATAAAGTTGTTGGAGAAAGTACTGAAAGTGCAGAACTGAAAGAGAAGTCACCTGTCATCCCTTTTCCTGCTCCATCTGACTGCTGCTAACGTTTTACTTTCTGTTTTTCTACTCTCTGATACATGCATGTGCAGGTGGGAAAATGTCTGGGACCAGAAGTGTTCTGGGGTTGGGAGGTTTTCAGATGTTGGAATATTTCTCATAGACTTTACTAGTTGAGCATCCTGACTCAAAGATATAAAACTTTTTCTTTTTTTTCCCCGGAACCGGATATTGAACCTACTAGGGCCTTCACACTGAGCTACATCCCCACCCTTTTGGAGATAGTCTTGCTGAATTCTGCAGTTGGCCAAGCTGAGCTTGATCTTGTGCCCTGCCTCAGCCTCCCAGAGTGGTGAGATCACAATCATGGGCCACTATGCCCAGCTGCAAAATGTCTTGGAGGTCTGAACTCAGAAAGTTTTGGGTTTGAAATATTTCAGGTTTTGGATTTTTAAATTAGATGCATACACACACACACACACACACACACACACACACACACACACACACACTTGCAAAGCATGGGCAGTGGCATACACAGAAATGTGAACTGGCTTTCATTTTATAGGCATTTCCCTAACGATATCTTATGTCCTGTGACGGTGCTGTGTTGTTCATTCTCTTTAGCATCTCAGAACAATTACCGTGTGGATGCCAACCAGGAGCTGCTGGCCATCGGTAAGACCCCTTCCACGCTGGCACCCCTGCGTCCCACTGAATTGTGCCACGTGTGGCGATGGTTGTGATGAGTCAGTGGGCCTCAGGGACTCACGCTCAAGTACCCTGAGGGCTCTGTCTAGTCCTTAGGCATAGGGACCTCACGGGTGGCCCGTGCTTCCACTTACTGAGCACCTGCTGTGTGCGACACCCTGAGGGCTGTAGCCTCACAGACACCCTGCGGTGCCAGTGGGCAGGGAGCAGAGGGTGCAGCCAGGCTGGCTCCTGGACATGCTGATCCCTGCCCGGTGGCCTCCCTGCATCAGGAGCAGGGGGCTCAGTAAGGATGCAGATGTCCTGGGCTGCCTGCCTGTGTACAGGGCTCTGTGCTGGGTTTACTGTTGTGGATTCCTTGGTCTTTCCGAGCTGACTTTTCTTATGTGTTTGGGGATACTGTGACAATGTGTCATGGGCCTGCTCCTGCCTGTCCCTCTCCCCAGCCTGAGCTTTCTCCTCTGACTCGTTGTGGATTTTACTGAGCAGAGGAGACTGGTCACTATGAAGGGCCTGGGCTGTGAAAGTTCAGTTCCTCACCTCGGCGGGTCAGCTGGCAAAGGAGAAGTGGGATTGAGGGGCACTCAGTGGAGCCCCGTGGATGGAGCTGTCTTACTGGGACCCCCTTCCTCAGCCACACCACTTCTGGCAGGTAGATCCCTTCTCTCTCTTATCAAAGAGAGGTGTGTTCGAGCCACACAGCAAGGCTAGGTCCAGAATGACTCTGTCAGGGCTAAATCAGGTCTGGGGCTGTAGTTCAGTGGTGGACTGCTTGCCTAGTGAATATGAGGCCGTGGGTGCAAACCGCAGCACTGCAAATAAAGCTGGACACCATCTGGGCAGATGCAGCCCAGCCTATGGCCTGCTTTCCTTCCTGAAAGAATGCCTGGGGCTGATGCAGGCTGTCATTCCCTCCATCTCTTCCTGATCTTGCTCAGTCTTCTTTCTCCCTCTTGCTCGTCTTTAGCCTGTGTGATCTGCCTCCTCTCCCAGTAAATGTCTGTTTTCTCCCCAGGCCTCACCAACACGCTGGGCTCCCTTGTCTCATCGTACCCGGTCACCGGCAGCTTTGGGCGGTGAGTGTCCACGCCATTCCCTTTCCACTGCTTGATCCCCAGGACCCCTCTCCCTTAGCTGGGCTCCTTTGCCCATACTCCACACCTTGTCCACTTCTCTGCCAGTCTGCCCTTTGGTCAACAGTGACCAAAGCAGGAAGAGGGACTTACCCTGCCCTCTGGGACAGCGTCTGGGTTCTCAGTGCTGAATTTAGATCTAGAAAGTTCAATGCATATGGAAGTAATAAACAATATGTATTTAAGAAATAAGAGTATGGACTGTGCATGGTGCCCTATCCCTGCCCCACATCACTGTCTGGGCCCACCTGCCCTCGCCTCCCAGCCCAGGTCTCCTGGAAGATTGCCCAGTGCTGAGTGCAGACCAATGCCTATCCCTCCTGTGCTGGGACTGTAGAATTCATAGTTCTCTCTTGCCTTTCTAGGACAGCCGTGAATGCCCAGTCTGGGGTGTGCACCCCTGCGGGAGGCCTGGTGACAGGTGAGTCCCCACTTTCTCTTAGGCCTGTGAGGTGAGAGGTGAGAGGAGCCTCCTAAAGGACCATACCTTCTGAGCAGACTGCCAAGTCCACTTTGGTACATGGCTGTGTCTTCTTGGGATGGCACAGCTAACGGGGCTACCTCGCCCCTGAAGGCCCCAGGTGACACCCTGGCCACCCACAGGTGCACTTGTGCTGCTCTCCCTGGACTACCTGACCCCACTCTTCTACTACATTCCCAAGGCTGCGCTGGCTGCTGTCATCATCATGGCTGTGGCCCCACTGTTTGACACCAAGATCTTCGGGACGCTGTGGCGGGTTAAGAGTATGTATGTGCCCAGCATTAAGAGCACATTAGGAGCACAGTGCAGAGATGGATGTGCCCTGCAGAGAGCGCAGGGCATGATGTCTGTGGTTGCTGGGGGCCTCCTTTGTCCCCCTTCCTGCAGCCCAGCAGAGGCAGGAGCTGGGTTTATGGTAGTGGTCTGTAGGAGCTCCCCCTGCAGGCCAGGAGATGTCCCTGATCTTTGTGTGGGCTGCCAGGAGGATGGGACTCTGGTCTCCAGAGGGCTGGGTCTGCCTGCACAGGGTCTATGGAGACCAGCAGGGCTTTTCTGCCCTCATCTCCTTATCCCTTCAGCTTGCCTTTCCCTGGCCCCACAATCGGGTACCCTGAGCTTGCAGTTTCTTTAATGAAACAAATTCCTGCTTTTCTTTAAATTGAAGAACTATAAGGATTTGTGTAGCTTGGCTCCTTTTACCATCTCCCCAGTGAGTTACCAACTAAAGAAACGATTGTTTCATTGTTGGCCAGGACCTCTGTGTAGTGTGCATTATGTCTCTCCTTCAGGGAGCCTTGAGGTGTGCTACCCTGCCTGTGTGGGATATAATAGATGCTCCTAAAGGAAACTGAGGCTCAGGGAGGGTGAGATGTGTATGAATTATGTGTATCTGGCGCTGACCTCCAAGTCATACACTTTGCTCCTCCCCCACCATCTTAGCCAGAGTCTTGTGTGGCCTCTGGGGGCCCCATGATCCCCACCACCCCTTAGGATCTGTCCCTCCTTCGTGGGCCCCCAGCAGGCCCCCCACTGCTCTCTGAGGTTGGGGGTCTGGGACCCAGCCAAGCAGGGTCCATTAGTCTTCTTCCTGTGACCTTGACCTTCCTCTGATGAGCTGTGATTCACAGATGCTGTCCTTCAGTCCCCAGAGCAGAGGCTGCTGGGACTGCTTTGGGTCTGTGATCACTGTTAACATGTAGGGAGCAGGATGCCATCCTGCTGCCTGGTAGGGTGTAATGGGGCTCAGGGTTAGGGCACCCTTCAGCCAAATCCTCTCCTAGGGCTGGACCTGCTGCCCCTCTCTGCGACCTTCCTGCTGTGCTTCTGGGAGGTCCAGTATGGCATCCTGGCAGGGACCCTGGTGTCTGTTCTTCTCCTCCTGCACTCCGTGGCCAGGCCCAAGACCCAGGTGCTGGCTGGGGAGGCACCTATGGGCAGGGCCCAGGGTTTGTCCTTGTGTCTTGAATTCATGGGTGATTGTGGTTTCTGGCCCTGCCAGAAGTGACCCTTTTCTCATTTAAAACAACAGTGCCTTCCTGGGGGGCCTCCTGCCAGCCCCCACCCCATTTCCTCCAGTGCACTGGGCTTGGGTTTCGGCTTCCTGCCTGGGAAAGGCAGAGCCTGGTGGAGGCCATCCTGTTCCTCCGCCCTTGGGGTTCACTCTTTCTCCCTCCCAGGTGTCAGAGGGGCCAGTCCTTGTCCTGCAGCCAGCCAGTGGCCTGCACTTCCCTGCCATTGAGGCCCTGCGGGACACTGTACTGAGTCGAGCCCTGGGAGGTATGTATGTGTTGGACAGCTATGGGCCAAGATCAGCATGCATGCATTTACTTCCCCTCCACCATGGCTCTTTGAGGACCCCGAGGGCCAGTCCCTCCCTGCCTGAGAGCTACTCCCCTGCTCTCGGGTCCATGAGGTTTTGACCGTGTTTGAGTGGCATCCCCTGTAAGCAGAACAGTGCCCAGTGAGCACTCAGCCCCAGGACTGCTCCTCTCTTCTTTAGCAAGGGCCATGGTTCCCAGCACTGATATTCAGGGGCAGCAAGGGGCCTCTTGGTCTTAGGAAGGAAGCAGCCACTGCTCTCACCAAATAGCTGTCCCTCAGGTCCTGCCACCCTGACCCCTTAGCAGTGACTTGGCCCTCACTGGCCTGTGTCCCCAGCATCCTCTCCATGCGCTGCGGTTCTCGAGTGCTCCCACATCTGCAGCATCGACTACACTGTGGTGCTGGGCCTGGGCGAGCTCCTTGAGGACTTCCACAAGCGCGGTGTCTCCCTGGTGTTCGTGGGCCTGCAGGTAGGCAAGCCAGCCTCACCCGAGATGGGTGTCAGCAGCCCTCCCCCTTGCCCAGGGAAGGGGCGCCATCCCGAGGACAGACGACCCTGACTCTCCATCTGACCTGCTGGCTTCTCAACCCATCTGACCGTCTCCTTCCCTAGGAAATGGGGAGCTGTGGCCCCTGTCCTTAGAGCAGCTCTGCACACAGCCTCAGTCTCCCTAGCCTCCGTGGCATGCCACGCTGCTGACACGGCTGTCCTTGGCCCTGAGACTTCACTCTTGGGCCATCTGGCCCCATGGCTGAGCTTGCGGCTGTTGCATTCTGAGTGATTTGCAGTGACCGTTGGCAAAGTGGTGGTCTTTGGAGACCAGTTATATGGAAATCCTCCTCTGGCAGCAGCCCGCTGGAGCCTACCTCCTTCTCCCTGCTACCTGTGTGGGAGGGTGCAACATCTCCCAGAGTGCTCAGTGCTTCCCCCAAGCCTCCTGCCCTGAGTCCGTCAGGGTGAGCGCCTTGCTCTGGACTGAAGCATGTCTGTTCCGCAGGTGCCCGTGCTCCGTGCCCTGCTGGCCGCTGACCTGAAGGGGTTCCAGTACTTTTCCACCCTAGAGGAGGCAGGTGGGCACAGGGGATAGGATTGGCAGGAAGGAAGGGGGTAGGGTGGACAGTGTATGACACCTGAGCCCCAAGAGGGCATGAGGGGCAGGGGGTGGAGCTGGAGCCAAAGAGGATCCAGGCCCGGTGCGGGGCCAGTGGTGAGGCCCAGGCCTTCTTCACCTGGGCATTATTTAGGTGTGCATGTTTGAGGGGATGTTTAAACACAGATGAGGTTCAGCATCCCCCCTGCACATCCACCAATCAGGATAATGTGTTTCTGTCACTGTAGAAAGGTCTCTCGTGTCCTCTCCCCTGCGCCCTGGAGGAACCAGTGTTCTGATTTCTACCACCTTGAGTTGGATTTGCCTGTTGTAGGTGGTGGGCACTTGAACTGTGAGGCTTCTGTGTCTGCTTCCTGGGCTTGGTCTGTCATCTGAGATTGTGTTGCTGCCAGAGGCAGCTGGAGCAGGCCACAGAAGGCTGCGTGGGTTGGGGCGCAGTGTGGGGAGGATCCCTCAGCACTCGTCACCCAGAAAATGGTGCCGAGCCCAGAGACGAGTGGACCCTCCGCATAGCCGCAGGTGCTGGTTCAGGCAGCCCTCGATGCCCTGGGTGCTGGGCCCCAAGTGCCTACCTCTTTGAACTTGCTCTCTGAGCTGGCCGATCCTCACTCCCATTTTTTCAGCGCTTGTTATTTTAAACTGGGCTTAGAGGCACAGGCCTGTAATCCCCACACTCTGGGAGGCTGAGGAAGGGTTGAAAGTTCAAGTCCAGCCAGGACAATTTAGTAATATAGCAAAACCCTGTCTCAAAAGAGGACTGTGGATCTGGCTTCATGAGGGGGTGCTGGGTTCCACCCCCAGTACTGGGTAAAACAAAGCATAATTATTTGCAGAGAAATACCTGAGGCAAGAGCCAGGCGCTGAACCCTACAACATCTGTGAAGATTCTGTCCCGGAACACAAGGCTGCCTTGCTGAAGGCCTAGCTGGGCCACCCTGGTGGGCGACTGGCGTTGAGTCCCAGAAGGTGCCTGTCTGTGTTTTGAGGCCGACACTGGCAGGACTCTAACATCCTTTGGGTGCTTGCAGGCACCTCCCTGCCGCCCCGCGAACCTTATTGGAAGAGTGTCGGAGAGAGCCTGCCACAGGGGAGGAAGGCAGTGGCGAGAGCGCCGTGGGCTGTGACCCCTGCAGGCAGGATGGGGTGGGGGGCCTCAGAGATGAATCTGTCCCCACGCAGGGGCCGTACAGAAGAACAAGGCAGGCCAAGCATCTTGTCTGTTTTAAGACAATTCCGCTTTTAAAACTCAAATAACAACTTTGGTATTTTGTAAAAATCATAAGTGCTTATTGTGTAAAATACAGGAACCGTTCCCAGTCCACTTGATTACCCCAGGCCCTGCCCACTACAAGTGCCTGTCTGTCCTGAGCGGGTGGATGCCCGGGGTTTACAAAGATAGAATCGCTTCACGCGTGGTGCTTGGAACCCAGGTTTTCATGCAGGCACTTGCTGTGAATTGTTTATTGTGATAATAAACGAGGTAATGGTTTTTAATGTCGTTGTACTGTTTTGGTCCAGGTCTGTATTGTAATTTGATGAGTCCTCTGTTGACCGTGTGTGGATTGTGGACTGAATTGTGTCCCCCAAAATCCATAGGATGAAGCCCGAACCCCCAGTGTGACTCTGGAGATGGAGCCGTGGGAAGTCATTAACATGTTCATGACAGGGCCTTAATTCTTGTGTCTCACTGCCGGGCTGCTTGAACCATCGGTGGTGCACACAGGACTGTCCCTTCCAGTGGCTTTTTATTAATCTAGTTAGTAAAAAGACCAATGAATGTGATTAATTAGATCTTTTTGTACCACTTGAGGGGACAGTCATACATGGGCCACCATTGGGAACGTGTTAAGCAGGGGGTCAACTCTTAGAGGAAACCAAGAGGTTTTGGGAGCTGAGCAGTGCTATAACTTAGAAAAACCCAGGTTCAAATGATCTTTTTCCATTATTACCAGAGAATAATGATGCACACCTCTAATCCCAGCATTTGGGAGGCTGAAGTAGGAGGATCGCTGTAAGTTGAAGCCAGCCTGGACTACACAGTGAGTTCAAGGCCAGTCTGAGCTTCACAGCTCAAAAAAATCTATTTTTGCACAACAGAATTTGAGCCACGGGCCTTCACACTGAACTATATATCTGGCCTTTTTTATTTTGGTCTCTTACTTTTATTTGAGCCCAAGGTGGGCTCAGATTTAGATCCTTCTGCCTCAGCCTACCAGAGTGCTGGGATTACAGGTTTGTGCCACCATACCCAGGTCATGTTTTAAAAGCAAAAACCACAAATGGGTCCCAGCACTTGAGAGACCAAAGCAAGAATATCACTGCGAGCTCCAGGCCAGCCTGTCTTAAAAAAAAAATGTAAAAACCACAAGTCAGGAGAGGGTAAGATCAGCTGCTTCTCAGAAATTTAGGTCAGCGCTGGGCGTGGTGGCACATGCCTGTAATCCCAATGTTTGGGAGGTTGAGGCAGGAGAACTGCCACAAGTTCAAGCCTGCCCGGGCTAATAGTTCAAAGCTAGCCTGAACTACATAGAGGGACCCTAGCTCAAAAACAAAACAAAATGATAGTACAAACCATGAATGACCAGTTTGGAAAAGAAAGTATGCTAGGTGTGGTGATCCATGACTGTAATTCCAGGACTTGGAAGGCTGAGACAGGAGGATCACTGTGAGTTCATAAAAGTAGGTACACACTGGTATTGCACTTTTGTCTTGATTTTAACCAAATCTACAAGGTTTAATTTTTCAAAGACAACGCATCTATATATATTACCTTACAATTAAAATTATAGCAATTTTTAAATTAAAAAATCATTTGTAGTGTGGGTTTTGAACACAGGGACTTGGACATGCCAAGCAGGTGTTCTACTACTGAGCTATGCCACTAGCCCCCAAATTTATTTTTATTATTTTTTTAAAGTAAAAATACATAACCAGGCACATGGCATATGGATATAGTCCCAGTACTCAGGAGGCTGAGGCAGGAGGATCACCAAGTCTCAGGCCCGCCTGAGCTATATAGCGAGACCCTGTCTCAAAAAACCAAAACCAAAAAACAACAAAAGTCAAGGTCTGAGTTACCACCTGAAAAGTTTAGGATTTGATAGAAGACAGCTGGGCTCCATCCTCATCCCTGATTGGCCATGTGAACTCTGTGGCCTTATCCATGGGGGTCACGTGGGCACGTGGTTGAGCCAGGCCTTGCCCATCAGCTACCACACCTGAGAGCCGACTGTGAGGCCATATCACTTCTGCAGCCCCCCGGTAATGCCTGCATCACATCCCTGGGACCCCCAGTGCCGCATGTGACAGGTTGAATTGTGTCTGCCTCCCCAAATCCCTGTGTTGAGTTCTAATCCGATGCCTCAGAATAGGTCTGTGTTTGAGGTAGGTCATTGTGGGTGTTAATTAGTTTAATTATAATTAGGTGGGGTACGGTGAGTCCTAATCCTATATGACTTAGGTGCTCATAAAGAAAAATTTAAGGGCCGGGGATTTAGCTCAGTGGTTCTGCCATCTGCTTCACAAGTGCTAAGGGCCCGAGTTCGATCCCCAGTACCAAAAAGAAAAGAAATTTGGCCACAGACACACGGAGGGTCCTCAGTTTGATCCCTGGTACCAGGGGGGAAAAAAAAGCAGCACACACATGGGGGATGATATGTGGACCTGAAGTCAGAGACCAATGGACACTTCAACAAGCCAAGGAGGGCCAGAGATCACTAGCAAGCCACCAGGAACTTGGCCAGAGATCTGGAACAAATCCTTCACAGCCCCAGAAGGGTCCACATTGCCAATCCATTCAGCTTGGACTTCCTGCCTTTTTGTTTGTTTTTTTGAGATGGGGACTCAATGCATTGCCCAGGCTTCTTTTGAACTCCTGGGCTCAAGCCAATCCTCCTGCCTCAGCCTCCCAATTCAGGTAGCTGGGACTATGGATGTGTGCCACTGCTCCCAGCTGAGAGAATATAATTTTGTTGTTTAAACCATCCAGGTCATGGTTCTATCACATTCCTAACCAAGAAAAGTTCACCATTGAATGTATTTTATGACGTGGAGGAACCTTAGTCAGCAGAGTCTTTGGCTGAAAAGAGCTAGGTATAGTGAGTGGCACATGCTTGTAATCCTAGCACTCTGGGAGACTGAGGCAGAAGGACTAAGTTTGAGCCCAGCCTGGGGAACTTAGCAAATTAGTGAGAATCTGCTTCAAAATTTAAAAAAAATTTTAAAAAAAAAGTGGCTGTGGATATAGCTCAGCATGGAGGCCCTACTTACCCCACCGTCGGACAGAGGGGGTGGTCTGAAGGGGTAGAACAGGGTTCCAGGGAGGCTTCTTGGGTTTTCTGCCAGGCACGGTCAGGTAGAATAGGTACTGAACTCAGTAATCCTTTAGGACAAAAATAGCAAGGTGGTACACTTTCCAAAGAAAAACAAAGTATGCTTTATAGACACCAAAGAAGAGGAAATGGGCAAACACTCGCAGCGAACAGCCAACGTGAGAAACAAAAGCAGCATAGAAAAGATGGGCCCAGCCTGGTAATAGTAACGTAAATGCCAATTAAGGTAATTTAATTACCATCTGCAGCCATCCCATTGTTGACACTTAAAACCTGCGGAAGCGTTGCAAGACCACGGTGGGAGGGTGCGTGGTGGCAGCGGCGTCTTGGAGAGGATGGGCCACCGGGTCAGAACTCCTTGAGGCTCGAGCTGGGGGCGTGGTTTCCAGGCCCCGCCCCGCGGGGACCAGGCGTGGCGGGTGCGGGTCTCCGTTTCAGGCTTTTCAAGCTGAAACAGTGCCCGGAGGAGGGCGTTGAATGAGGGTTTGGATAAGGCCAGGTTCTTTTCCATGTTTTGTAGTTTTGAAATGTTTACATAAAGCAAGTTTGCTGTCTCCCTCCCTCCCTTACTCTTTGCGTCTTTCCTCTTTTTCTATCAAGGGTTGAACTCCAGGCCTTCACACTGACCTACATCTTGGCCCCTTTAAAAAGTGTTCTATTTTGAAGGTCAACCTACTTGCCAGTCCTTCTGTCTCTCTTAGAAGCTATCTTTCTCTCAATAAATTGTTCCTCATCTTAAAACAAAAACAAAAACGAGATTTTATTTTGAGACAAGACCTTGCTAAGTTACTACATTGCCCAGACAGAGCTCAAACTTGTGATCCTCCCGCCACGCTCTTCGGGAAGCCACCGGCTGAAGCCAGGTCAGTCGTGGGTGTGGGTGTGGGGGGGGTCCCTGGGAAGCCACAGGGTGACTCTCTGGGTACCAGCAAGAGTTTGATTGACTGAGGCTGGGCGGATGGCCGGGATAAACGCAGCAGCCCCTCTTGGCCCAGGGCTTGGGTTCCGGCGGAAAGATCCAGACCACAGGGACAGGGAGTGGCTGGGGAGGAGCGGTGGGGCGGGACGGGGCGGGGCGGCAGAGCTGGCAGGAAGCCAGCTGGGCTTGCATCTGGCGAGCTGGGATCCACCTGCGGCCGCTGGCGTGGGGGTGATGGCAGTGGTGTGGGGATGGGGGGCTCATTTGAAAAACATTTCCTTTTTTGTGGGACTGGGGAATGGAACCAGAGGTGCAGTGATACTGAGCCAAGTTCCCAGCAATTTTTAAAACGTTTGATTTGGAGACAGGGTCTGCTGAATTGCCCAGGCTGGCCTCCTCAGCTGCCCAGAGTGCTGGGTTGTAAATGCGTTTTTTAAAGGAGTAAAAGTAAAACATCCCTCAGAAAATGTTAGGGACCTGACGCCGCCATTACGGGCCGCGTTTCGGGGTTCTTCATGCCTCCATGCCACTATCTTAAGTTTCCTTTTCCCAAGGCTGCCATAGTTTAGAAAAATGAAACTGAGCTTCTGCAAGAGTCAGTCCTTAAAAGGCAGCCCGGCTTGTGATAGGTTAAAAGTAGCCCGCCTGCTCACAGATGTGCAGGGGCCCAGCCCTGAACCAATACGAGGACCTCCTTCTTTTTCCCTCTCTCGGGGATCCGCTATCCTGAACAAAGTCTCCTGTCAGACCTATCAGAGTGTGGCCTTGTTGAGCGTCGCTGTTCCTCTTCAGAAAATGCGTGAAAAGTTTAGATGGAACAAATATGAACCAGGGAAAAAAGTCGTATCTACTACCTTGATATACTACACGTAATATAGATATAGATATACTTTTCTCTTTTCCTAGCATTTCTATGTGGATGGTATATAGATACAATCTGTATTCTTTCTTGATTTAACGATACCTAATGTAAATAAAATTCTTTCTGGGCTGGGGATTTAGCTCAGTGGTTCTGCCGCCTACCTCGAAAGCATAAAGACCTGAGTTCGATCCCTGGTACCAAAAAAATAAAAAAAATCTTTCTTCTTTGTTTTTCAGTGCTGGGGGACAAACCCAGGACCTCACACATACTTGGTAAGTGCTGTACCCCTGAGCTGCATCCCCAGCCCTTTTTATGTTGGACCAGATCTTGTTAAATTACCTAGTCTGCTCTGGGAGTTGCCCTTGCAACCCTCCTGCCTCAGCCTCCAGCTGGGATAATAGGTGTGCACCACCCCGTGCCTGTTTTCACAAAACTTCCTATAAAGAAAAATGTTAATGATTGGCCAGTTGTCACGGAGCACTTAATATATGCAAGGACTGTGACAATCTCCTGAAAAAGATGATCTTGTTTCTTTCTTGTTTTACACCAGTCTGAGAACCAGATAAAGACATTTTTTTTTTTTTTTTTTGGTACCAGGGATTGAACTCGGGTCTTTGCGCTTGCAAGGCAGGCCACCGAACCACTGAGCTAAATCCCCAGCCCCATAAAGACATATTTTCCAGGAGGGGCTGCTGCTGTGGACTGGCCAGGGCCTATGGGGAGCTGTAGGCAAGCTGTGTCCATCTCCCAGGCAGTGCCACTCGGGAGAGTCAGGCAGATTTCCCAGGTGACCCAAGATAATCTCCCAACTCCCTAACCACACCCTGAGCCCTTTGCCCTGTAAGGTGACAGAGACACAAACTCAAATTAGGATGGGGACGTCTTTGGGGCCATCCCTCTGCTCCCCACCTGGGATTAAAGGCTTGCACCACCACAGCTTTTCTGGCATTCTTTTTTTCTTATCATTTTTACATTTTTGCAGCGTGGTGGAGAGGCACTTTCCCCTCCCACCAGCCCTGCACGGATGGACAACCTTTGTTGCTTTTGGCCTTTTTAACTCTGTCCTGGTGGGTGTGAAACAGCAGCTCTTTGGGATTTGATTTCCATTTCCTCTATGTGCACACATTTTTTCTTGGTGGAAGTGAAGCTTAAAAATTGGGATTTTTTCAAATAAAAATTCCAATAGCTGTCATCTCTTCAAAAATGTCCCCACGTGGGCTCCTGCCACCACCCTCTTCCAGACGGCGCACAGTGCGTGAGGGTTGCCTAAGGGCTGCAGAGATCCTCCCTTCACCTGGCTGTCCTTCGCCACAGGTTCCTGTCCTCCTGCCCCAGAGTGCATGGGCCCTAGGTGGTTGGCTGTAAGAGGAAGGAGACTGGCCTCTGAGAGGACCCTGCATCCTGAGAAGGGCAGACGGGGTGTGGGACACAGACGCACAGGCGGGGACCCCGTGTGCCGGTGGAGGTAGGGAGCAGGACCCAGAGTCCTCAATAAAAGAGCGAGGAGCGCTGGCCCTCGCCTTCCCGGACCCCGCGATGCACACCCCGCTGCAGAGGGGCCCGGGGCTTCCCCTCACCACCTCCTCCTGTGTTCACGGTCTCGCTGCCGTCACAGACACCACGAGGGAGGCCTGTCCTCCCAGGACAGCGAGGCAGGCACACGGGGCGTCGTCTGGATGCAACCGTCCCACCTCCCACCCAGTCCCTTTTCCCCGTCCCCAGCCCCAAAGCGAAAGTCTCTGCACAGAAAAACACTCTATGTCCACCGGATTCTTTCCCTAAATTTGCCAGGGATCTGGGGTGTAGGATAAGAGATTTGTAATTTGCCCAGTTATCTGCCTAAGTGGACCAATGCGGGATAAATCTACAGAGTGACAGCAATTGCTGGATAAGCATCCCTGCGTCCTAAAATGTCAAGGGAGAAAGCTCCCTCTGTCAGACGCCGGCCCGCTTTCATTTCCAGTCTAACATTTCTAGCTCTACTTGGAGAACTACGCAAAGCTTCTGCCGGCGTGGAGGTCAAAGGACCACTGTGTAACTGGGTTTCTTTTCCTGGAGAATTAGGGGTGATTTGGGGGGCTGGCGGGGGCTGGCGACCGTGACAGGCTGGGAGCAGCCTGGACAGTCGTGCTCAGAGCCTCGGAGGGCACCGGCCCCGCGGACACCGTGACATAGCACCTCTGGGCCCCAGCCCCAGAGAGCCCCAGGGTGGGGACTCGTGACAGCAGCTGTAGGACGCTCGCCTCCTCAGCATGTGGGTGTTAGATGCTAAAGCCAGGGCGATCTCAAACACACAGCACGGCCAGTCAGCACGCAGTGTCTGCCACATTATCTTTTATTTATTTGTAATTGTTGTGGGTGTTTTGAGACAAGGTCTCTCTGTGCAGCCCAGGCTGACTTTGAATTCCTCCTGCCTCAGCCTCCCCACATCTGTATTACAAGCGTGCACTGCTGCGCCCTCCACCATGTCTTGAGATGCGGTTGGAACATGTGAGTCTGCTCCGGCTGGGGCGGCTCTTCAGTTGCTCTGATGGCGAGGCTGTACCTGCTCTGTGTCACGCGGTCCCCTCCACCCCGCTGTCCCTTTGGTGTGCAGCTTTGTGTAGAGTGCGGGTCCCGACATTCAGGGAGGGGAGGGACAGATGCACTTGGCCTCAGCTGTCTGGGCAGCCCCGGGTGCCCTCATCGCAGCCGCCCCCGCTCTGGAACCAGATGTCTCCACCAGGCCCTCGGAGGGTCGCACGGATGGCCTGGCTTCCATCTGGAAAATGCCAGGAGTGACAAAGACCAAGTGGCCCTCGCCTCCGTGGTGCTTATTGGTGGCCTGGAGACACAGTGGCTCCAGGTAGGGAATTGTGGCTGCTGGGATTACAGGTTATGCCACCACGCCCTGTTTAGAGGTACAATTTTATGATTTTGGATTTAAGTGTGACATTAAAAGCATAAGCAATAAAAGAAAAAATATACATTTGACTTCACATTAAAAACTGATATGCGTGGATGCTCACCAGCAAGAACAGTGAGATGACATGGAATGCGAGAAATGCACAAATCATGTGTCAGATACACAGAAGTTATTTCATGAAACAAAAAGTCTATTGAGTGCATCTTCGCAGACCTATCTAGAGAGAATTATTTAAATGTTCACACAAAATCTTGCACACAAATGGCTGCAGTAGTAAAATAGCCAAAATAATACCTGACTGCGCAGCAACTGATACATGGGAAGGTGCTTATATCCATAGAATGCTTATTATTCAGCTCTGAAAAGGGAGAGGTGCTTATACCACCTCGACGCGGATGAATCTCCCCAAAAAGCCAGGCACAAAAGGTGACAGGCTGCATGATTCCATTTATCTAACGAGTCCGGAGCAGGAAGATTCAGACCGACAGTGGGTGGGGATGATAACTTTACTGCAGCTAGGCCGGGATGCTGATTGCAAAGCCCATGTATGTTCTAAAAACCACTCCCCTCTGAGTGGTATGAGTTAGAGCTCAATTACAAGATAATACAACTTGACATGTTTATAGTCTGTCTCTGAATACGGTGCACCAATTAAAGGAGATACTGTTCTCCTTAAAGGAGTTCCCACGGAGCCGTTGGTGCAGTAGCCTGGGTGGGGCGATATTTAAGACGATTCCTACTATTCACCTGTTGCACATTTTGGTGCCGCTGCACATCACCTAGGGACAGGGAAGATATTCTCCTCACCAAGGACCGTGTTCTATATGTAGCTTGTGTTTGAACCTACTATTACCATTTTCTTCTTGTAGTCCTGATGCCGGTTACTGGGAAAAGCCTTCTTGGAGAGAACAGTAGAGGAAATGCCCAGATCATGACTCCCCGGGAAAGCTTTGGAAGTCGTGACCACTAGGTGCCCAGGGAGCTGCCTGAATCAGAGGATGGGTCGCGCGTTGGAAACACCCACGAGGCTGTGTAGGAAACGTCGCCGTGTTCAGGTGAGGAACTGGAGAAGTTGGCACTGCAGGGTAGCGGACAGCGCCGGTGCTGGTCCCTGACAGCCTAGAGCCAGAGCCGTGTGGGGCTGGAAGTGTTCCGCGCCGCCCATCCTGCTTCTCAGTCCCGTTCAGCGATGTAGAAATGTCAACAGCAACTGCCAGCTGTTTGTTATGAGGCTAAAATAAGTAAACAGACAAACCCCGAAGAAAGGTGACTGGTGCTTCTGGAGTGCCCAGCCGTGGCGAGTCTGGAAGAAAGAGCAGGACTTGCGGCCCTGGGGCCCCAGACACTGGGGGGACATAGTAAGGGACAAGTCCGGGAAGTGCTGGCTCCTCTCCTACCATGGCAGGGCTGAGGGGTGCGAGGCTTCACCGCTCTCAGAAACCACATCATGTCTGCAGGGAGGTGTAGAGCAGGGCTGGGACTCCTGGCGTATGGGTCCCGGCACTCAAGTTCAGAGACGGGACGGGCCTTGCACAGAGCCACAGCACTGAACAGGGATGAATCTAAGGCAGCAAATGTAGTTGGTTCCCGAGGGACAGAGACCCCGAGCCCCTGCAGACCCTCGATTATGGCCTGGATGCTGAGCGCCAGCACGGCACGCTCCGTTTCCCATTTCCTCCTGCCCCGGAGTGGCTACAGGGCAATGCTTGGCGGAAGTGCTCACCCCAGATTATGGCCCAACCTGCCTCAACTCCTGCCTCTACATTGCAATCCGTGACCCCAGGGCAATGCCCTTTCACCAGATGAAGCCTGTCTGAAGGCCCGGGGAGTCCAAACTTCTCCTTACCCCAGTACTGGCCCCTGGGGTCAGGTGACCATGCTATGTAACAGCCACCTGCCTCAGAACTCAGAACATTCCAGACCAACTGCCCAACTGCCTCAGAACCCAGAACATTCTGGAACAACTGCCCACCTGACAGTGGTATAAATAGCTTCACCCACCTGACAAATCTAGATGAGCAGTTGACTGGGAACGGGGAAGGTGGCCTGGCGGGCTGGGATGTAGACCAGTGCAAGTCTGTGGTCTCTGGTGACTTATCTTCCATGCCCTCCAAATCCTTACACCTTCCTGTTCAATTTCTTCGGCTCATCAGCCAGGCCAGCGGTGATCTCTTGGGCCAAGGCCCCCTCAGGCCCTAGGACATCTGTCAGGTCACTGCCTGTGTCCAAGTCCTTACTGTTGTCCTTGGTGTTGGACCTCTTCCTCGGCTCCTTCTACTATTTGAGAGCTCAGTTCGATTTCTTGGACTCCCAGCTCTCCCACCCCAGGAGACAGAGATTGAGGCCGTGGGACAGGGCTCAGTGTGCAGCCACAGCTCCCCGCTCTTGCGTCCTGGCCCCTGTGGGGCTGCAGGGAAGGGGAGGGGTCTCAGTGGTGAGTGAATGGAGAGAGGTGTTGACGTGGTCTCCATGGCCTTCTTCTGCAGCTCTAACAGGCACTGCACACACCCATCTCCTTCTGAAAAGCGCTGCTGAGCTGCTTGTGCAGCGCCCTCATCTCGGCCTGTTCTCCCTGCAGCCTCACTTTGGCTGCCTGCTGGGGGTGGGGAAAGGGAGTCAGACCAGGGGCAGGCTGGGGCTAAGGATGCTAGGACCCCAGGAGCCCTTCCCTAGCTTTCCTCCTAAACCACTGTGCTAGGCAGGCTCCTCAGTTATGTCATAAGAGCCCATCTTTGTTGTGCTTGAGCCATGGTTTGGATGTAGCCCACAAATGGACCCCTGGGAAATGCCCACCCATAAGAGGTAAAGCATCTCCAGAGCCTGCAGCAGGGAAACAGCTGGGACCCAAGTTGCCCCAAGTTGCCAGTTGCTTGAATACTCTGAGAATCATGCTTCTGTAAGAGGGCAGGTACAGGGGCAGGAGCCTGACCTGTCTCCTGCCTGGCCTGGCCAAGGCTTCCCCTTCCCTCCCTTGCTGGTAATGACCGACACCCTTACTGAGAGGTAGTCTGATACTGGCCAAAGGCAGCATGACCTTTCCTGGATGCCAGTTACTGGGTGCTGTGTCTGTCTGCACCCTGACACCTTGCGGTCTGAGGTGCTCTCTGGGGAATGAGGGATATATGTCTTTGGACAGGAGAGCTGTGTTTGGAGAAGAGCTGGGTGTAGGCCTTTGTCTCAGATACTGTGGGAGCCTGGGGTGGAGGCGATGTTGAGGGTGGTGCCCTGTGGCCCCAGAGGAACTCAGCCCTCAGGACCCCACCCATGTAGCTCCTGTCTGTTGCCTCACCCCTTGCTCTGTGACCTCATTTTCTTTGTGCTTTTCTTCTGGCCAGCCAGCCAGGGCCCAGGGCCATCACCCTGATGCCCGATTGCCCAGGAGGGTCCCTCACCCATGCTGCTGGTTGCATGCTGCAGGGAGGGGCCAGGTCAGTTTAAGGACAGGCTGCTGTGCTCTGTGGCAGGTGGCAGCATGTGGCCTTTATGGCTAGGGCCAGTGAGCTCCACTGGGCAGCCTTGGCTAAAACAGGCTTAGTACCGATCGTGATCCCCTTTCCCTCTGCAAAGGACACAGGAATACCAATCCAGGATCAAGGCCACCTCCCAACACCCTTGTTCTGCCATGGTGGAGCTATCGCCTCAATTGATATTTAAGGAACCGAGGACACACTGAGCTTTACTTTCATCTGTAAACTAGGGATGGCAAGACTAACCCCGGAGAATACTAAGACAGTGGGCTTAGCTACCATATCCGGGGGACGGATTCAGCTGGTATTTGCTATTACAATTATGGTTGGGTGCAGGTGGTGTGATCGTAGGTGCCAGGTGTCCCTGTTCTGATTTCTGATTTCTCAACATCTTTCCACATCCTTGAGCAGGTGGCTGGCATCCCAGGGGCACTGGTGACTACGGGACAGGCAGCACCCAATTTGTGGCTCATTCAGCAGGGCAAAGGGAGCACAGGGCTTTGGGCTGGTGATCTGAGCAGGGTAGACAGAAGATGCCAGGCAGCAGGGCACATGTACTTTCTGGGCAAGTGGATCGCTACAGATTCTTACTGTTATCAGGGAAAAGGTGAAGTGGAAGCCCAGGCTGTCTGCGGGTGGGGCCTGGAGCGAAGTGGTTGGGAAGGGAAAGATTTTGAACACAGCAGGGACCCCGTGTTCCCTTAGCAGAGGCAGCAGGCCTCGGGGTGGGTCCAGTCCCTTTTGGAAAGACTGCATCCCAACTGGTGGGTGTCCACTCTCGTGTGCCCACGCCCAGACGCAGCCCTGTGGGGTCAGCGGGTGCCTGGAGCTCACCACCTGTGTCACCAGGCTGCCAACCAGGATGGGAGGTGGAGTGGGCAGAGGAGCTCTTCACTGGCCAGGCCCGTCTGGCCATGCACTCACGGTGGGCTTTACTGATGATGGCAGACGAGGATGGGTGGCTGGTGACCAGGCTGGTGGCCCTGAGGTCCGGCCCCCTAGAGGACAAGGTGTTGGTGGGGAGAAAGAACCTGGGAGTCCGGCTCCAAACCTTCCTTTTGTTAAGTCTGCAACTTCCCTGTTGACCCTTGATCTGGTGACACTGCACACTGCCCCGACAGGTGACAAAAGGGGACTGAAGGATGTGGCCTCACATCTCTGTGCTGAGGGGGGTAGGGTGGTGTTTGCAGGGGCTGAGTTCCGAATCAGTAATCTGGGGTCAGTGTGACTTCTGCTGGGTAATTTTGGGCATTAAACAGTCCTAGGGAGGGGAGAACAGGAGTGGGCAGTCAGAAGGCCTGGTCCTGATCAGGTGACAGCAGAGGGTGACAAAGGCACACAGAGTGACAAGGACTGTCACGTGGGCTGGAAGCCCTGGACGAAGGGCAGTGGGGTGGGTCCTGGATCCCCAGGAGGAGGCTGAAGTTTGCTAGGCAGCCTCAGCGGCACCGCTGAATGCCCCGGGCACCTGGGAGGTCATCTGGGGCCAGTGAGGAATGCGTAGGGATGAGGCCCTTACTCGGGCTGGCCAAGGCGTGGGATGGGATAAGGAGGAGAGAGAAGCAACTCTCTGGGGTGCCCGCCCACCAGCTAGCCCGGTCCCATCCCACTGTGGGTGGCAGCCCCTCCCTGGCATTTGCATACTCCCAGCGCTGCCACCCCTCACACGCCCACCTTCCGGGCCCTGGAGACCACGTGGTCCATGATGGTGGCCAGCTCCAGGCTGTCCTCCTCCTGCTCTCACAGGTACACTTTGTAGAGGTTGTACAGGTTCTCAAGTACACTTCACAGAGGTTCTCCAGGATCTGGGACAGGGAGGTTGGATCTGTGGGGGAAGGGCAGGGCTCGGCAGGGGCCAGGGCCCTCTGAGCAGCTTGGTCTGGCGGGTGCGGGCCTCGGCCTCGCTTGTCACAGAGGCTGCGGTGCTGTTCCGGGTGGCGTCGTGCACTATTGAGGGCCGGCGCTTGCAACTGCATCTCAGTGTCCACCTGGAGTTTGTGTACCTTGCGCTGCAGTCTGAGCTCACGCGGCTCCTTGGAGCGCATGCACTGTGGCAGTGTCTTTCCCCAGGTGCCTGCACCACCCGCATGGCTTCCTGGAACACCGCTCACGCACCAGCTGTGAAGGACACTGGGTCAGGTCCAGGCAGTGCCCACCTGCCCTGGCTGTTCTCACTGTTCTGGCCCCTGGACTCCTGGTGTCTGGCAGGCACTTTATGCTGCCCTCGAAGCTGTATCTTGTTCCATGCCAGCCCCCCTGCCCACTGTCTTGCTGCCCTGACTAGCATCCAACATGGGAGCCGGCTCTGTGGACATCTGCTCAGCCCCAGCCCGTGACACTTTCTGAGCTTACAGCTCCACAAACTCCTTCTGGTTTGCAAATGCCCCCAACGTGAAAGATCTGCTGTCCGCAAAGCCCCATCGTGTTAACTACCATGTTTTGAGCCCTGGGCATGTGCTAGGCATTCATTTAATCTCTACAAAGACCCCATGAGCACTGCACCATGACTGCTCCCATTTACAGAGGAGAGAAACATGAGATACAGAAAGGTCACTTAGCATTTATACCATGAGGCTCCAGCCTCTCCCTCCTCCCCTGGTCCCTAATCACTCTGCTACTCCTCATTGCCTATGCCCTCCAATACCTTGTTCAATTTCTTCGGCTCATCAGCCAGGCCAGCGGTGATCTCTTGGGCTGAGGCCCCCTCAGGCCCTAGGACATCTGTCAGGTCACTGCCTGTGTCCAAGTCCTTACTGTTGTCCTTGGTGTTGGACCTCTTCCTCGGCTCCTTCCACTATTTGAGAGCTCAGTTCGATTTCTTGGACTCCCAGCTCTCCCACCCCAGGAGACAGAGATTGAGGCCGTGGGACAGGGCTCAGTGTGCAGCCACAGCTCCCCGCTCTTGCGTCCTGGCCCCTGTGGGGCTGCAGGGAAGGGGAGGGGTCTCAGTGGTGAGTGAATGGAGAGAGGTGTTGACGTGGTCTCCATGGCCTTCTTCTGCAGCTCTAACAGGCACTGCACACACCCATCTCCTTCTGAAAAGCGCTGCTGAGCTGCTTGTGCAGCGCCCTCATCTCGGCCTGTTCTCCCTGCAGCCTCACTTTGGCTGCCTGCTGGGGGTGGGGAAAGGGAGTCAGACCAGGGGCAGGCTGGGGCTAAGGATGCTAGGACCCCAGGAGCCCTTCCCTAGCTTTCCTCCTAAACCACTGAGCCCACTTCCTGTCCAAGCACTTCCTCCAGAAAGACCTCACCCCGGCCCCATAGGGTGTCTCAGGCTGTAGCCCAAAGGTAGTTCCAGGTCCTCTCATGACCCAGAGTCCCCCACCCTTACAGCACCTCATGCCCATCACTAAAGGTGGTGTCCCCAGCGTCCTACAAGGCAGCCCCAGTGTGGGCCCCGCATACTGAGTTGTAAGTAATGGCTGTGAGGTACGTAACCCCCATCTGGAACTCCTTTGCAGACATCGGCATCCCATTTTCCAAGGGTCAGAAGGCTCAGAGTGGTTAAATGAGCATCCCAAGACAGCCCGGCTCAGCACGACCTTCCCCACTACATGCCTTGGATGTGGCGGTTGTCAGATATCACCCTGCTCCAGGATCGCTTCCCCAGATTCAGCAGCGTCTCAGCTCTGAGCACCCCTGCTCCTTCCCCAGAGTGACTTTGTAGCGCTTCTTGCAATACCTACAATAAAAGTACTTTTGCTTCGAGCTCTTCTCGGATTCCTCTTCCTCTTTCTACTTGGGAGAGAGACAGGCCTACTGAGGGTGAGTCTGGTGACTCCTAGACCCCAAACCCAGCAGAAGTAATATAAACGGGGGGTTCATCCGGGATGGAAAGACGACCACCTCAACCGCAGACGTGGTCAGTATACCCAGCCTAAATGGGAGTGAAGGCAAGAGGACCCTCCAGCCTCTTGACTTGCTTTCCCGAGGACCCCTGTCCCCCCACCCCCATGGAAGTCTTCTGGCTGGGCCCCTTATACGGTAGAAAATTTTCCTTCCTGCTGGACCAAGTGCAGTTTCTGACCATTGAGGCGGAGACTTGGTCTTTTATCCTTGTGGCTTAGTGGCGGAGCTGCTTAAATTCAGGAACACCTATGGTAAAGCCGCAGGGGTTCCTCCTGGTCCAGTTAGTCAGTGTCCACGGGTGAACGGGGAGGAAGGAAAGACTCCCATCATGTCCAAGCAACTCCTCTGCCTGTGTGCTCTGAGAAGCAATTTAATTTCTTCCATACCATTTCTGAGCTCCGTCTCTCCCTAGAAACCAGACAATTCATTACTCGAATGGGCTTTCCTAGTTGGGTTGTCCTTTTTGTCAGGCCACCAGTAGGAGCAATGGTTAGATTCTTCACATCTACTTGTCTAGACAGAAAAATCTGGATTTGTCACCTATTTTGCCATACTTCAGTAATTCCAGATATTTTTAAGGAGGACATGAAAGCCTGTTTGGGTCCTGGAGAGTTAGTGTCAGGGGACCCCATTACTTGCTTTGTGAGGATTTTACAGACCTACCCCTTTTAAAATATTACAGGCTTGACTACCAAAAACATGATTTGAGGACCTCCTTCACCTTACACTTTCAGTTCTCCCCTCTGAAAGCATCTGAACACCTCCATGATTCAGCCGTGATGGCTCTATGAGGAGCCTTATGGATAGAATTGTTTTTGAGAAATGATGGCACCAATGCTTTTTCGTATATAAGAGAAAGTATTGCAGTCCCAGACCTCCCAGGAGTAGAGGAAATTTCCTCTATTAAGGGCTTCGGTAGAACTAACCCATGTAGCAAGCCGGGCTGAGTTTCCTGGGACCAGAGCCCAGACTATGAGGTAGGAGATGCCCTGCCTGACACAGGTTGGGGGTGCTTTGTTTAGGGATGCCTGTCAAAGGTCTGCCTCGGTTGGCCACGTGGGATTAGATGAGCCTGGGTTTAAAGATGGAGTCTTCCTCTCTTCTCCTTGTTACTCATCTGCTACATGGGAGTTGGGTCCTGAGCCATTCTGCTGCATTGTCCTCTGGAATATTTCTTCATCCTTGGAAAGATTTAGCTCCTCAATCCCTTAAGTACAGGTTCTTATCTTTGATTATACTGAGGCTTGGGTACACTATGTTTTGGGGGGCTTTGGGGGCTTCCTATTTTTAATATCATTCTTCAATCGGATCTTTTCTGTATGGGAGAGGGAAAGTGAAATGACGTGCCCTACGTTTAACTTTTCTTCACCCTTTGGGACTGTTGCGAGTGCGTTTTGCAATGTTCCGCTGAGCCGTCTCTTGACTGCTGGAAACCGGGGTTCAGTAGGGCCAGGGGCCAAGCAGGACAAGAGGGGCACTTCAGGCAGGAAGGGGAAGCAGTAGATTACTGCCTCCTGGAAACAATATGAGAGGAGAAACCAAGATAGGTCCCATCCAGTTATAATTGAGAAAAATCGATCAAGACTGGGGAAATCCCACAGATGACCCAGATGAATATATAAGAGCTTTGGAAAGGGTAGCTTCTCTATTTAGGTTAATTTATTTGTCCTTAGTGAAATGCTTAATCAGGGAGAGAGGGGGGAAAAAAAGACTTTTAGAGGTGATAGTTATAGCTAAAAAGTGTCTGCCCCCACAGCGGATGAGGTTTGTTCCTCATCTAAACCTCAATGGGCCTATGAAATGCCTGAAAAAAAGGCTCCCTTGCCCTTCTATTAACATCAAGGAGAGACTATAAACCTGTTACCAATGAAAATTAGGACAGTTTTGTCACAAATAAAGGAAGCCCACCCCTCAGTGTTCTTACAACTAAGGGGTGCCATGGTCTGAGACTGTACCAAGTGAATGCAGTTATCTTGTATTCTTGTCTGCCAGTCTGTCCAATGTATGTTAGTAACTGGTTGCAACACCCAGAGCTACTGTGTTTAAAGTTACTGTTTTTAGGGCCGGGGATTTAGCTCAGTGGTTCCAGTGTCTGCTTCACCAGCACAAAGTCCTGAGTTTGATCCCTGGTACAAAAAAAAAGCTATTTTTGGAGCTTAGTTATTTCCTTTTATGTCTTAGGCTTTTTGGGGGGGATACCCATGGAAAAAAACTTTACAGTTTTTCAGCACAACTAAATTTTTTTTTTTTTTTTTTTTTTTTTTTTTTTTATTTTTGGTACCAGGGATCAAACTCAGGCCCTTGTGCTTGCGAGGCAGGTGCTGGAACCACTGAGCTAAATCCCTGGCCTTAAACTTATTAAAATATTTAGGCATATAGTTTAATATGGCCTCTAAATGAGTGGATACTCAGGACATTGTTTCAAATGCTTGTGGCCCATATGGTTACCAGAGGGGCAGTTTAAATAGAGGTAAAAGATATCTTCAAGGTTAGTGACGTGTTTCCATTCAGGTTATCTATCAGAGTGACATCAACATGGGTTTTATGAATACAGTGCCTATTGTTTACCTCTAATGACTTGTTGGTGGTCTGTTTCTGATCAGTGAAGGGCTCTTATGTAATAACTTGAGGGTTTCACTCGGTCAGGAATAGTGTGTTGACTGTTGTGATTTAAAGTCATCTGGGGAAATTAAGGTAACTCAGTGGGGGTCCTGTGGACTTGGAGGGGATGACTGGACTGGACTCCTTTTGGTGGATATAAAGCAGCTGCCAAAAACTGACTCATTTTTTTCTCCAATAACAGGATAACTAGTTGTCTCCTTGTGCAAGCTTTATAGGAGACTCAATCCAACAAACCTTGCTAAATATTATCCTAATACATTTGCATTGGCAATCATCAAAATTTTAAATTCTCTATGGTTAAAACAGTGAGATTTTCTTAAGAGGTGCTCAGACACTGTGCAGCCAGGAAATGTCACTCTAGAAGTTAGAAGTTAGACGTAAATAACCTATAAGGTACATCTACGGACCAGGGTATTCTACTTGGGTGACATTCTGCTAATGAATGACAAAATTGGGTGAATGCTTCTTACGTATTATCTTGTAATGGGAGAGAGATGACTATGACTGTCTAGAAGGTTGTTCTGTACTAAGATAAACATTTAAACATGTTTCAGAGACAATAAAAAACTTAATCGTTCTAATATAGTGATGTCACCATAATCGTTGTGCTAAAATGTTATGCTGCCTTCAATCTACGGTTTTCTCTGTAAGACTTTGTAATTGTTACCTGTGAACATTCCCCAGAAATTCAAATTCTAAGAAAATCATGATTGGTAAGAACAGTTCCCTAGTCATGTTGTCTATTTCAAAATGTTTGATAGCTAGATATGATCATAAAATTAAACCTACTGCTCCCATTACAGCACTGGTGTAACTAATCCTTCTGGGTATTCGACTGAGGTTCAGGGACCAGAGACATAAAATAAAAGTGGGGTAAGAGGATAGGGAATATTTTGGCCCTGGCCCTCCAGAGTCAACAAGGACCCAAGACAGGAGGGGACTGGGACCTTCCCTGGAAGATCCTCCAACTTCGGTAAGTCACCCAACCTCCTGAGTTGGACCCCCCAAAAACAGGAATTAATCAGGGTACAGTGTACTAAAGAGGAGGGTCACCAGGGGGAGGAGCGTCCCTATGGCTTCTGTCAGAAGTCACATGGTCAAGCAGGAACATGATCCATCCTGGCAGCTGACACTGACAGAGGATTCTAGAGGTTCTACACATGGTCCATAAATTCACCCTGGAAAAGCGGGGCGTGGTGATGCATGCCTGTAATCCCAGCACTTGGGAGGCTGAGGCAGGAGGATTGCTGTGAGTTCAAGACCAGCCTGGACTACAGTGAGTTCCAGGTCAGTCTCACTACATAGACCCTGTCTCAAAAAAAAACAACAACAACAACAACAACAAAAAACAAAAATAACCACCCTGGAGATCTTTAGCTGAACTTGATATTGGCAAAAGATTAATTTTGATAAATACAGGTTTCACTTTAACTTAGTCTTGAACATCCAGTAGAAAAGTATAACCAAAGATATAAAAGTAATAGTAATGTAGATGAGACCTAAAGGGGGTGCACTACTCACTCTGCTGATAGTTTCCGGCCATGTCTGCAGACAGGTCTGGGCACCGACTTGTTACAATTGTCCTTGCCACTCTAGCACTCATGCTTTGCTCATACATGCCCCGTAGGATTTGTCCTCATCTAGAGGCTGCCACACTCCAGGTGGTCTTACAGTGCTCCAGATCGAGCCCGCCATCTTCTACTGCTCCAGCTGATGCCCTCTTTCAGCCAAAAGTAGCCAGAGCGGTCAATGCATCTGATCCCAACAACATTTGGGCAGTCATTTCTAGAGGGGAGAATGTATGGACAGACCCAGGCCCTTTTTAAAGGGTAGAAAATATAGGCTGTGTGTGACTGCGAGCAGCAAGCAGTTTTCCAACAGCTTTGTGGTTTGAAGCTGACAAGCTGTGGTTCTGACACCTGTCTTCGTGAGGGGTGATACTGTCCCTCCTAGTGCAGGTTGCCATGCCTACCAAAATTCCCCCATTAGGCCACCATGCCAAACCCTAGCAACAAACCCAATATCCAGTCAATAAAGTGTGGACCCTCAGGGGGCAGTGACAGGACCCCCATCCCATAAAACAGGACTCCTGCCACAGATTTGGCACTGCCTCAGCTCCCCAGAGTGGCTTTTTACTGCTTCCTGCAATACCTACAATAAAAGTACTTTTTGCATGGTTCTATTCCCCCCCTCTTGCTCTCTCTTTCTCTCGCTGTCTCTTTCTCTCTCCCTCTCTCCTCTCTCCTCTCTCTCTCTCATGTGTGTACCAGGGTTTATCTTTTGGTACCGGGATTGAACTGAGGACCTCACGCTTGCCAGGCGGGCTCTGGCTTTTGAGCTACATTCCCAGCCCTGCTCTGGTCTTCTCTGACTGCTTTTCCTCTATGTTGGAGAGAGACAGGCCCGGTGAGGATAAATCTGGTGACCCCTAGACCTCAGACCCATCAGGTGTATCAGCCTTATTGTGTCCAACTCCATTTCTTCCTATCATATGTAGTGTATTTCTGCTAGATCTGTAATCCTAAAGTGCCGCTTCTGCTCATCAACCTTTCTCAAGAAACTCTCCTGCTTGCCTTGTATCCACCACAGATCCTCCTCCTCACCTTCGGAACTTTGCCACTCCCCACCTACTAGAACATTCTCCTCACTCTTCACAATACCAGTCAGTCTCCCCCATCTCCACCCGTACTGGTATCATCTGTGTAGCAACTGTATCAACTACCAATGAACCACATAGTCGACACTATGCCTCCTCTCTGCCGTGGACTTTCTGGAGGGTGAGAATACAACTTAAAACTGGATGTCAGGTCCCACCCTGTTCACCAGAGAAGTAAGAACATGAACCTGGGAATCATGGACCAGCTGGGTGATCACTTAACATCCTTAAGCCTCACTCTCTAGGTGTCATGGGGAAGCAATAACATTTGCCTGGTTTTGAAATCAGACGAGAATAGATCAAAGAGCTCAGAGTAGGGGCTCCACTAGGGCTGCCTCTTATTATTGTAGAATTCCAAGAGACAGGAGAGATCAATGGCATATCAATATTTACTAAAGAAACAGATATAACAGAAAATATTTAAATACATACGTATGAAAAGAAGGAAAAAATGTTTTGTACATAGGGAGTGGTGGAGGGGTGGAAGGGAAGGAAAGGAAATGGGGGAAAAACAAGAGCCAAGATATAGCATGTATAGGTATGAATTTCCAATAATGAATGTGATCCTAATGTACACCTAAAATGTGCCAATAAACTCAATGGAAAAAAAAATATATATGAGAATCTACAAGGGCCACCCACAAAGTCAGATGTGGAAGACAGCAGAGCAGAGGGTCTGTCTGCA